AGAAACCAATAGCAAAAACTGCAACTAATGACTTGACAAGATGAAATGAAAAGCCGTAATCTACAGTGTCCAGCCGTGGGTGCTGGTGTGCGGCTGTCAGGCAGATGGTCAGCAGGTTGCAGGCAGGATTCAATACAGTCTCCAGGGAGAGACAGAATGCCAGTGAACGGAGGCCTTTCATCCTCCATCAGGAGCCTGCTGACGCCTGTCAAGTGAAGCTCCTCTCGACTAACAACTAGCCAGCGGCCTGCCGGCAAACCCTGCTGCGAGGACAAACCTCCAGTTACAAGCTGAGCCACGCGCATCTCCAGACTGAGCGGGAGAGGGGATCTGATGTAATGGAATGCTGGATTTTTGCCGCATACCATCAGCTATGGTATTTGGGTTTTTGTTATTACGAGGCACTGCTGGAGCGCAATTATTAACATAACTGAATGATTCTGAATGAATAAAGATTCACATGAGACTGAAGGCGATAGAAATCATAGGAATTATTAAGATTAATTAAATAAGATAGATAGATAGATAGATAGATAGATAGATAGATAGATAGATAGATAGATAGATAGATAGATAGATAGATAGATAGATAGATAGATAGATAGATAGATAGATAGATAGATAGATAGATAGATAGATAGATAGATAGATAGATAGATAGATAGATAGATAGATAGATAGATAGATAGATAGATAGATAGAATGATATTTAACGAATTTATGAATTAACAATGAGAAGAACAGTATGAACAAAAGAATGAATGAACAACAACAAATGATGGAACAGACAGAATGAGAGAATAAACAACATAAAACAGAACAAACAAACAATGAGGACAGAAGAAATGAACGACCAGATAAATGACAGAACAAAAGAATGATATTCCATCTATGGATGGATATCGATGGTGGGAGGGATGGATATTAATGAGTGTATATGGATGAATGGATAGATGGAAATGGATGGATAGATATTGATGGTTGGATGGATATCTATGGATGGATGGATGGATATTGATGGTTGGATGGATATCTATGGATGGCTGGATATCTATGGATGGATGGATGGATATCGATGGTTGGATGGGAGAGAGAGTTTTAATTTTATTGCCATTTCAGCGTCTATGGCTATGTCATGGCAAAAGGAAAATAGATCAAGTAAAAATATTCTAACAATTAAAAGTCATCAATAGCAATAAATAATGTACAAGGTAAAATATATAAATAATTATAATAATGATAATATATAAGATAAAAATCTAAAACAGTTTTTTAAGATTTCCTTTTGATAAAAATTCTACAACTTTAGATGGATTCACGTTTAAAAATATTTCCTTTAAAGTCTCTCCAGATAAATATTGTTGTTTGATAACATTAAAAATGGGGCATTCCTCAAGAATATGTTTAACTGTTAGGTTTCTGTTGCAATAAAGGCATTTTGGTGGTTCTTCTCCTTTGAGTAAATGTTCATGTGTGAGTTTCGTGTGTCCAATGCGGCATCTTCTATATACAATCTCATCGTAACTTGACTTAAAAAATAAATTAGATTTTTTTTCCTATTTCAGGTTGAATTTCAAAAAGTTTATTTTCTGGGCACTGATCCCATTCTGATTGCCATTTGTTGAGAATACAGTATATCCTTTTATTAGTGGCTTAAGATCCGAAGGTGGGATTTTGCACTCCTTCAGCTTTCCTGTTAGGGCTGTTTCGATGGTTGGATGGACAGATGGATACCTAAGGATGGATGGATATAAATATATGGATAGATATGGATAGATGGATATCTATGGATGGATGGATATGTATGTATAGAAGGATAGATGGATATTGATGGATGAAGGTATATCAGTAGATAGATGGATATGGATGGATAGATGGATATCTATGGATGGATGGATATTGATGGATATATGGATATTCAGACAGATATCTATGGATGAATGGATGGATATCGATGGTCGGATTGATAAATGGATACCTATGGATGGATGGATATTAATGGATGGATGGATGGATGGACACCTATGGATGGATGGAAAGATGGATGTATATTGATGGATGGATAGATATCAATGAATATGGATACCTATGGATTGATTGATATAGATGGAAAAATGGATACCTATGGATGGATGGATGGATTGATATCAATGGATGATTGGATAGATGGATACCTATGGATGGATGGATGGATATCAATGGATGGATGGATGTGGATAGATGGATATCTATGGATAGATGGATGGATATTGATGTTGGATGGACAGATGGATGGATAAATGGATATCTTTGGATGGATAGATATCTATGGATGGATGGATGATATCTATGGATGGATAGATAATGGATTTTCAGACAGATAGATAGACAGACAGAATGAAAAAGCGATGGATGGATGGAAGGACGGATGAACGGATAGACAGATAAACAGACACGTAGACAGATAGACAGACTGATAGACAGACAGATAGACTACAGATTGATTAAAAGAATGAAAGATTCTCTGAATCAGAGAAATGACAGAAGAAATGAAAGAACAAATAACAGAACAAAAAAACAGAACAGAACAGAAGAGAAGAATAATGCCAGTATAAACAGGCACAAACTCAAAAGCTGAATTTGTAATAAACTAGAATAAAGAGCATTTATAATTGATCATATTTGTCCAGCATTATGCATACTCCAAACAGAGTACAGTCAGTCTGCAGAAAATCCTGAGGTTTAGATTTTTCAACTGCAGTTAACTTTTAATTGGACTCGTGTACAAATTTGTAAATGAAGCTAATCTTTGGAGCTAGCACTAGAACCACACTATGGCTTTCATGCACGCAATATGAATATAAATCCAGCTTGTGACCTTTTCCAGTCCTAATACTCGCTCTTCATCCATCATTTCCCAATTGTCATCTCTCGCTGTCCCTACTCTACGCTATAAATAAAAGAGAAAGGAAATGATGATAAGTGTTGTCCATCACACACACTGATTTGGCTAAAGCATCTCTAATGTTTATGCAGAGATTAATTATATTATTTATGGCTGATCAATGGTGTGGATGTGAGTGTGTGGGTTTGAGTCTCATTAATGCAGTGCAGCTGTTGATGTATGGTGTTTACAGAGAGCGGGTGATCGGAGTCTGGCTTACTGGCATGGACTCGCTCCAGCCTGTGCTCTACTCTAAACACTCGTAAAAGCGACCGCTCGAAGACTCAGACATAAACATTACACACGAGAAACATTTCACAAAACTACAAACAGATATTGAGAATACTTGAATATATTAACACACGTATTATTCAATTTAATTCTATTGTATAAATATTAGAGGTTATGTATAACATTTGAAGTAGTATAAATTGTGACCAGAATGAAAGGTCAAACAAACCATACAGAGAGAACAAACAAATGAATATGGGATGGATGGGTGGACTGATGGACGAACAGATGGGGAAATGAAATAGATGGGTGAATAGAAAGACGGACAGACAGACAGACAGACAGATACAAAAAGGGATGGATGGAATTGATGGATAGATACAAAGATAGATACAAGGATGGATGGTTGGATGGATGGAACTGATGGATGGATGGGTGCATAGAACAACAGAAATATAGATGGATGGATGGATGGATGGATGGATGGAGAGACAGACATACAGACATACAGACATACTATGGATGGATGGATATATGGATGAATGATAGAACAATAGATGGATTGATAGATGGATGGATAGACATATGATGGATGGCTGGATGGATGGATGGATGGATTAATGGATGGATGGACATACTATGGATGGATGGATAGATGGACATACTATGGATGGATGGATGAATGGACAAACTATGGATGGATGGATGGTAGGATGCACATACTATAGATGGATTGATGGATGGATGGATGGTTGCACATACTATAGATGGATTGATGGATGGATGGATGGACATACGATGGATGGATGGATGGATTGATGGACAGATGGACATACTATGGATGAATAGATGGATGAATGGACAAACTATGGATGGATGGATGGATGCACATACTATAGATGGATTGATGGATGGATGGATGGACATACGATGGATGGATGGACATTCTATGGATGGATGGATAGATGGACATACTATGGATGGATGGATGGATGGATGGATAGATGGATGGATGGATGGATGCACATACTATAGATGGATGGATGGACATACTATGGATGGATGGATGGATGGATGCACATACTATGGATGGATGGATGGATATACTATGGATTGATGGATGGATGGATGGACATATTATGGATGGATGGACATACAATGGAAGGATGGACATACTATGGATGGATGGACATACTATGGATGGATGGATGGATGGATGAATGGATGGATATACAATGGATGGACAGATGGATGCATAGACATACTATGGATTGATGGATTATTGGACATACTATGGATAGATGGATGGATGGACATACTATGGATGGATGGATGGATGGACATACTATGGATGGATGGACATACGATGGAAGGATGGATGGATGGACGTACTACGAATGGATGAATGGATGGATGGATAAACATACGATGGATGGACAGACGGATGAATAAACATACTATGAATAGATGGACATACGATGGATGGATGGATGGATGGATATAATATGGAAAGACGGATAAATGGATGAATGGACATACGATAGATCAGGCGTCACCAATTTCGTTCCTGGAGGTCTGGTGGCCTGCAGGGTTTAGCTCCAACTTGCCTCAGCACACCTTCATGGGTGTTTCAAGTATACCTAGTAAGACCTTAATTAGCTTGTTCAGGTGTGTGTGAATAGAGTTGGAGCTAAAATATGCAGGACACCGGCCCTCCAGGAACAAGTTTGATGATCCCTGCTATGGATGGATAGAAGGATGGATAGATGGATGGATAGAAGCAGACAGATAAATCAGACATAACTAGTAATGCATATATTAGTATTAGTCGTATTGGCAGACTCACAGCTTCAGTGTGAATGGGGTGCACAGAGAACAGCAGTGCGGTGAGGAAGGAGAAGTTGCTGTCCTCGAACACACACTGCTGGCAGGTGTACATGAGCAGCGCTGTCACCACGCAGTGCAGGAACACATTCACCAGGTGGAAGAAAAATGGAGTCAAGCCGCCCAGCAAAATGTTCAACCTGAAAAAGAGAATGGCATCAGTAAGAGCAGGGGCCTGTAGCATGAAGCTGGATCAGTTTAGTTTGCACCAACCATGGGTTTTAGATAACATGAAGTCAGCTTGACTGTAATCAGTCTTGGTTGCCATGGTATTATGGAGAAGCTGAGCTGCCTTCATGGTACCTAAAATGCAGAATTGGTCTAAACTAAACAGAAACTTGACTGACTTTGCAGCTAATCGGTCTACATGTTACAAGCTCTAGAGTATGTCTAAACCTGGATCAAATTTCCATGTTAACCTTAGTTTGTGACCATGATGAGCAATGATGTTTAGTTGGTGTGAACATCATCTGCATTTCTGGATTTACCTGTGCAGCATGTCCATTTTTTAAAGCAGCTAGACAAATTACTTTGGAAAGGAAAGTTGCAGGTTCACAGAACTAAAGTCAAAACAAACAGACATGACTGTGGTAAAACCTCTAATGTAAACATGTTTGTTTGACCTTGCAATGTTTTAACACAGGAAGCCTTTAAAGAAAATGAGAGTAAGGGAACTAAACAAATGAATGAATGGCGAAACAAACTAAGAAACAAAATAACGACACAACAAAAAGAAAAACAAGGAAAGGATTAAACAAATGTTGATACAAGTGAATTAAATTACAGACAGAACAAATATAAACGATAGAATAAATGTAGGAAACAAAGGAACAAACTGGCAACAGAACAAACAAAAGAGAAAAAAACATTCACAGTATACAGAGAGAACAAACAAAAACAAATGATAGATCAAGCATAAGAACAAACTAATGGCAAAACAAAGGAACAAATTAAATAAACAACTAATTATAGGACAAATGGACAACAAAGCAAACAAAAAAATTATCTTTAAAAAAGACTTTGGCAAAAAAACAAAAAAAAACATCAAAACTAATGGACATGATTGTGGAAAAACTCAGATGCTCAATAAATACATTTCCAGAAAGCCCTTAAAGAAAACGAGAGCAAGGAACCGAGAGAGATGAGAGATGAGAGAAGGGAACAATTAGCCTAAAGCGATGCAACATTAATGAGCTTCATGGTCACCTTGGCTGAGGAGAGATTGAATTAAAATTTTGCAGCAGCGCCAGAGGCAGAACATGGCATTGAATATGATGGACATGAAGTCATTTAATAAACATGATAAAAATCTGATCAGTTTTACAATGACTTTAGGAAAATAAAAAGACGACGATGATATTATTTATTGCTGATACTTCAAATAAACTATTTATTTTATACTCTAGCTATTGCAAAAGTTATATTCATTCCCCCATTTAAATTATGAGTGTTTATTTACTTGTATATTCAACAATCGATATATATGTACGTCTATATATATATATATATATGTGTGTGTGTGTGTGTGTATGTGTGTGTATATATATATATAATGAGAGAGAGAGAGAGAGAGAGAGAGAGAGTTGAAGTCAGAATTATTAGCCTTTATTTGAATTTTCAGTTCTTTTTTTTTATATTTCTCAAATGATGTTTAAAAGAGCAAGGAAATTTTCACAGTATGTCTGATTATATTTTTTCTTTTAGAGAAAGTCTTATTAGTTTAATTTTGGCTTGAATAAAAGCAGTTATAAATTTTGTAAAAAATATTTTAAGGACAAAATTATTAGCCCCTTTAGGCTACACAATCTTAATCCAGCATCTCTACGATTCAGCCTATTGCATTGTAGTTTTTAAGTTCAGGAGAAGCATGACGTATTTAAGATACATTTTTCAGCAACATGGACACCTCCAAATGGTGTTAAAAGTAACACTTACTGTGTTTATGAAGTATAATTCACCCGAAAACGTCATTTCTGTCTTTTTTTTCTGTATTTGTTTTTTTTTTGTAGTTTTTTTTTAATTGCTTGAACTGACAATACAAGAACATCTTAAAGTCCAAGTGATCACAGACAGATCTTTAAAAAAGTTCACATGAAAAAAAAAAAACCACATACAAATAATACCATTAGACACAAAGGGGGAAAAATAAAAATAATAGAATTATAGTATTAATAATAATAAAATAATAATACTAAAAATACTAAATTAAACAAGTGAAAGAAATTACCAAAATTACCAAAAATTATAGCCATAAGGAAAGCAACTAAAATCGAGAATCTTCTTTGAATACTTCTGCATAATATTTCAGGAATCTTGGATTTTTTTATTATTCCTAATAAGATGAAGTGATTTTAGGAGAGAGCTCAATTCTATTCTAAAATGAGCAAAGAATGGGTATTTATTAGCGAATTTCTGTTTGTGAATGAAAGTTTTGCCATGTAAGATAACAAAATGTATGATGTGTTCCAGAGATTTAGCTTTTAGGTTATAAAAAAAAGTCTTCTAGACTAAAGCAGTTCACAGCATTGGCAGATGTAATGATGTATTTGTGGTTGCAAAATCACACATGAGCTGACGCACTGCTTGTTTACTACACAGAGGACGCGCGCGTGCCCGTGAATGATGCCTACTTTAGTGAACAGAACCTGCATATGCTGTGAATAACAGGTAATAAAGTTGAAAGTAACGTTCAGTTTGTTACACAGAGCGATCGTTTGGGAGTATGATTTATTTGCATGTATGTTTTTTTTTCTGAAAGTGACGGCAGCCATAATGAACATAAAAGTGAAACCAAAAGCGCAAATAAATTACATGATCATATCGCATTTTAAAGTTATGATTATGACAAGCACTTGATATGTTTTTATTTTCATAGCAAACACAACGTATTGTGCATGAAAATAAATGTTTACAGGGTCTGTATAACTATTCTAGCCTTTATAATGTTGAATATAATGCAAGAGGAAATCTGATAATGACAATTGTTTTTATTTTACCAGGGGATAAATGGCTTAATAATGTTGTCAATGACAAATGACAAGCACATGTCTTAAATATAATAATTCAACTTCAGAATTATGAATAACTGTACTCTGATGTAATCACTTTACTCCGCATTAACAACCAGGACAAAGTTAAAGTCTATTCAAGTCCACCATTCCAAGTCTATAGAAAATTTAGCATCCCTTATGCCTCCAAACTTCCCACTTTGCAACAGCATTAATTACCAAATAAATCTACAATCCTCAGTCGTAACAAGATTTTTGAGACAAAAAAAAAAAAACGATTTTGGATGAATTTGAGTGTAAAATGCACAAGTTGTAACACTCTGTCAAGATAAATGCCAGATCCCAGACCGAAAAGCCATAATAAGCAGCCATGAAGGTTATACATGAGTCACTGATACACCTGCCACTTAACATTTAGCTTGAAGCCTGACGTTTGGCCCACAAAAAAACAGACCGAATGTGAGAGCAAATGGATGGAGAGGGAAAAAGGTGACAGTTAATGAACTGATGGAGCGAGAGAGAGGGACCGGCAAACCGTTTGTACATCTGCAGGCAATAATAAGCCTGTGTTTATTTAACTGCTGCTGATTAATGTGACACCGAGACGCCAGTGTGTGCATTACAGTCTCGACAGGGGAACAGGAACACATCTTCAAGCCCCATCAGAGCGGAGGATGAAATCTAGCTGTCCACAGTTTTATAGTTTAGTTTAGGATCTTTAGTGCATTGTAGAGTAAATTCCTGCTTAACTGGTGACCAAATCAAATGGTATATTTTATTAGGAAAACTATAAATGAAATGTATTTACTGTTATTTACTCACCTTTTATTCATCATTCAACAACATTTATTAAATTGTGCCAAATATTGTGATATACTTTCTAATATTACCCTGTGTAATTTAAAAAAAAAAAAATCGAATTGCTTTTTGAAATTACATTATAACACAATTACATTAAGGCCACATATTGTTAGTCTTAAGCACGCAGCACCTTTTGCTTGGAACAATCTGCAAACACAGTTGCAGTTCAAAGACTTGATTTCACTACATACTTTTAAAAAGACTTTAAAAGATTTAGAAGTTAAAACACAGTTTTGTAGATGTTTTGAATAGTTTTTCAGTGTGTATAGTTTGAATAGTTTTTCATGTTAATTGTAAATTGTTTTTGTTTGTTGTCTGTTGGACTCATGTGACTTGTGTACTGGCTAATCTTGGACAGGACACTCTTATAAAAGAGATTTTTAATCTCAATGTGTCTTTCCTGGTAAAATAAAGGTTATAATAATAATAATAATAATAATAATAATAATAATAATAATAATAATAATAATAATAATATTAATAATAATAATAATAATAATAATAATAATGCAAAATTGGAATAGCAACTATAATCTACATTTATAGAACAGAGCACAAATTATAAAGTCAATAAAATAGTAATACAAAAAGATACACTTAAATCATAAAATAGACACAAACACAACTAAAAGGAAGAAAACATTTACACCGGGTATTCAGTTAATTTACATTTATTACATCAATAAACTAAAGTCTTCTTCCACATTTTGATTGTATTAACTTTAAAGATTAACAGTATAGCCCAAATTTCATTTATATAAACCCATTTCTGTTTCTGAAGTTGTGTTTAGTGTTGCCAGATGCTATTCTGAGTTGTCAGGGGCTTGTTTGGCTTTGCAAACATACATTTACATATGTTTTGTGCTTTGCATCAACACGCATGACTTGTTTATAGAGTTCATTCATTTTCTTTTCGGCTTAGTCCCTTTATTCATCAGGGGTCGCCACAGCGGAATGAACCGCCAACTTATACAGCATACAAAAGGGAGTTTGAACCTCGCCTAGATTTCAAGATTGTGGAACTTTGTTGCGTATGAAATTAGTACAATTTTTAAGATCAAATTAAAAAAAGATCCTGGTCTTTTTCTTTTGGGACTCCCTTCTAAAACACAAGCAATGTCATTGACCCTTGACACCAAAGGTTATAAATTGTTAGATAAACTGCTACTTGTGGCAAGAAAATGCATCCTTATTAGATGGATAAAAAACACTCCCCCCACTGTGACACAATGGTACAGAGAGATTTTTGCGGTTTTGCTCCATGAGAGGCT